TTCAGAAAGCGTACATTTTCAAGACAGCTGCACCCTAAACCACAAACCCCATGGCAATGAGGAAGTGATGTGCTGATTTTTTTTTAATACCTTAACATAAATGCATGGGTATTACATGGAACCATGTTCACTCAGTAGTAACAATTGCATGTACCCATGGAGCAGGGACGCATGGGACTAGCATCATGGGAAGACTCACCTGCACAGTTCTTTCCATCAGCTGTGAGCTCGAAGCCATCCTGGCAGAGGCAGTGGAAGAAGCCAGCGGTGTTGACACACTGGCCAAATCGGCACACCTGCCCCGCCAGGGAAGTACACTCATCAATGTCTGCAGAAGGGAGATGGGCAGGTGGGGTCACCCACAAAGCTTGAGTGGACTGAGCCTCCCTTGCACTTCTGCACACGACTAAGTTGAGTTGATGGCACTGGCTTCGATTTATTGAGCACTCATGTACCAAACTCTGTATGTTAACCTTCCAACTATTCTATGATGTTTGTACTGATAGTGTCTAATATAACCATTTAATGCTACGAATTTGCCTCTAAGTGTTCTCTTAGCTGCACCCCACACATTTTGATATGTTGCGCTTTCATTTTAATTTATTTCAAAATATTTTCTAATTTCCCTTATGATTGTGTATTTGATCTATGGGTTATTGAAGTGTATATTAATTCCTAAATATTTGGGAACATTTTGGGCATCTTTCTGTTATTGATTTCTAGATCCATTCCCTTTCATTCCGAGAACCTACTTTGTGTGACTTCAATTCTTTTAAATTTGTTAAGATTTGTTATATGGCCCAGAATATGATCTTCCTTGGCAAACGTCCCTGTGCACTTGAGAAGAATGTGTGCTCCAGAATGTTCTATAAGTGTCAAGCCAAGGCGGTTGATAGTGTTGTTCAAGTCTTCTACATGCTTACTTATTTGCTGTCTCCTTGTTCTCCTTATTACTGAAGGAGGAATGTTGAAGTCACCAACTATAATTGTGGATTCATCTATTTCTTTTTCAGTTCTGTCGATTCTGACTTCATATGTTTTGAAGCTCTGTTGCTAGATATATATGCATTTTTTTTTTTACAGGGTCTTGTGCTGTCACTCGGGCTAGAGTGCAGTGGCATCATCATAGCTCACTGCAGCCTCAAACTCCTGGGCTCAAGCAATCCTCCTGCCTCAGTCTCCCGAGCAGCTGGGACTATAGGCGCATGCCACCATGCCTGGCTAATTTTTCTATTTTTTATAGAGATAGCATCTCACTCTTGCTCAAGCTACATATGTATTTTGATTATGTCTTCTCTAAGAATAATTGATTCCTTGTTCAATATATAACATCTCTCTCTATGTCTATTCCTTGCTGAGAAGTCTATTTGGTCTGATACTTGGTCTGGTAGGTTACTACTATTAATCTCCCTTTTACAGATGAGGAAACTGAGGCACAGAGAGGTAAAGGACTTGTCTAGGGTCACACAGCTGGTAGGTGGCAAAGCTGGGATTTGAACTCACACTGTCTGACCTGGGAGTCCATGCTGTTTGGACAGTACTCTAAACTGGCTAGTGCCACACCACCCAGGTCTTGCTCTCACCTCCCTTTCTCTCCTGTCCATCTGCCTCCCATCAGCTTCAGCCTCAGCTTTGGCAAGAGCCCCCCAAAAGTCCCCTGACTGGCACCTGGTCACTGAAGGGGTGTGGAGAACTATGATTGACTCATTGTCAGAGGAAATCCCAACCTTCAAGATTATCTTCCAAAGGGGTCTCTGGGTCAAGAGCCTTTATTTCCGAGGGTGCCCTCAGGCCACAGACCCACTTTTCAGTGGGGAACATCAAGGCCTGCCCACCAATCTCAGCCAGCTCACCCACGCAATCCCCGTTGTGTGTTGCCGCAAAGCCTGGGAAGCAGAGGCAGTTGTAGGAGCCAATGACATTCTTGCAGGTCCCATTTCCACAGGGTTTCTGGTCACATTCATTGACATCTGCCAGGACACAGCCCGAGAGCCTGGCTCATCTCACCCACCCAGGGCATCGGGGTGGGGGAGGGTGACGCTGCCTTCCCTGCACACAGCCCTGCCCGGATGGCTGTGTAGCGACCCCTGCAGGTGAGGGCTGGGAAGTAACCCCGGGGTTACCAAACCCATTTTACAGATGGGGAAACTGAGGCATGGGGGCAGATAAGTCATTTACCCAATATCTTAGTGTCAGGACTCAAACCCAGGTCTGTCTGTGAACCAGAATGGATGCAAGCACCGTTCCCAACTCCACTCCCGCAGGGGAGGTGCAGGCCCTCACCTGTGCACAGCGTCTGGTCTGCTGAGGCCCGGAAGCCACGGTGACATAGGCACATGTAGCTGCCCTCCGTGTCCACGCAGTCACCGTGGCTACAGACATTCGGGATCTCCCGACACTCGTTCCGTCCTGGGGGTGCAGGCAGTGTGGTGTTCCCCCGCCCCACAGGGTTTGCCTGAGCCCTCCCATGCTGCCACCACGACTGGCTAATTTTTAAAAGTTTTTGTACAGATGGGGTCTTGCTATGTTGCCCAGGCTGGTCTCAAACTCCTGACCTCAAGCAATCCTCCCACCTCAACCTCCCAAAATGCTAGGATTACAGGCGTGAGCCACTGCAGCTCACCTGTAACTGTCCTGTTAACAGGTGCTCTCTGTGCATCCCCCTCCAGCTTCTACTAGGCCAGACAAGAGAAAGACCCCGACGGAGGCAGAGCCATGCCCTACGCAAGTCACAGTGGGTGACAGAGCCCGGCTCCTTCTCCTCCCTGCTCCTCGCCCTGCTGGGGTCTCCCCTGCCGCCTCCCTGGGGCCCCTGCTCACCCACGCAAGCCCCGCCTGGCGACAGCTTATACCCTCGGGTGCACTCGCAGCGGTAGCTGCCAGGGATGTTGATGCAGTCGGCGTTCCGCCGGCAGGGGCTGTCCCTGCTGCCACACTCATCCACATCTGGGCAAATACAGCGGACAAGGCGGGGCTGAAGGAGAAGCCCCCCTCGACAGCTGACCCCCTGCTTTGGACCAGGTGGTCTCTCCGGAAGCAGCCAGAACTGGAGCGAAGGTGCTTCTGTGAGACGGAGGCCCTTCAGAAAGGTGACAGCCCCCTTACACAGATGGGGAAACTGAGGCTCACAGAGTTTAAATGACTCACCTAGATCACAGTGTGTGTGGTGGGGGCCAGCATCCCACCCAGACCCTGGGGTTGGGGACAAAGGGGAGAGGTGGCACCTTCGCAGGCCAGCAAGATGCTGTTGTAGTCGAAGCCCGTGGGGCACTCGCAGCGGAAGCTCCCGATCTGGTTGATGCAGACGCCGTTGGCACAGACGGTGGGAATCTCTCCGCACTCGTCGATGTCTGGGAAGAGCAGAAGCCATCAGGGGCAGCCCAGCCTCCCCGGGGACTTCTGGGGACCCTGAGCTGAGGGACTCATCAGCCCTGCAGTCTGGGAGATGATGTTGTCGGCACACACTCAAAAAATCCTGCTGTATGAGACGGTATCTAGCAAGAAACTGGAAACATCGATGGATGAACGCATAGCAAACTAGGTGGCGTCCGCACCATGGTGTATTCTCCAGAAATAAAATAAAGGCATGAAGCCCCGACGCGCGCTGCAACACCAACGAACACTGAATACGCTCCACTAAGTGGAAGAAACCGGACACACAAAAAAACAAATATTGTATGACTCCGTGTACAGGAAACGGCAAATCCGTAGGAACGGAAAGTTGACGGGTGGTTGCTAGGGGCTGGGGCGGGGAGGAAAAGGTGTGATTGCTCATAGCGATGGGGTTTCTTTGTGAGTGATCAAAATGTTCTGACCTTAGATTGAGGTGATGGTCACACAACTCCCCAAATATACGAAAATCCACTGAGTTGGGCACTTTAAGTGGCTGAAGTGTATGGAATGTGAATTATATCTCAATAAAGCTGTTATATATAAATAGCTGTGTGTATACACACACACACACGCACATAACCTAAGTGACCACCGGTGGCAGACTCGCCTACGACCTGGGATGCATCCACGCCACGGAATACTCCAAAGTAAGGCAAAAAGAGAGGCCACGCCACAAACAGTAACCTAGCCGGTTCTTCCAGACACGTTTTGGGCAAAAAAAGCAAGTTTCAGATGAATATGTTGGGTATCCTATAATTTATGTAAAACTCTCAGAAAACAATGCCATATGTTTTCAGTGGTGGACCTAACTGTGGGTAACACATGAAGAAAAAACTAGAAAGAAAGATTCCAGGAGTATTTATAAGTGATTTGGTCTTTTAAAAAAAGAAAAAAAAGATTCCAGGCATAAAGCATGGAAACCTCTAGAGATGGGAAGAGGGACAGATTAGAGGTGGGGACTGGGAGGTGAGTTTTACCTGCCAGGTGCTGATTTTTTTGAAATAAGAAGACTACATCTGTGGGATTAAAACAACTGAAAATGGGTTTATCAATTAAACACTGCACCGTTGAAATTTGGCATGCAGGTGTTAAATTGTACAAAACCATGTAGGGTTTTTTGTTTTTGTTTTTTGGTTTTTTGAGACAGGGTCTCGCTCTGTCACCCAGGCTGGAGTGCAGTGGCTCCATCGTAGCTCACTGCAGCCTCCAACTCCTGGGCTCAAGCGATCCTCCTGCCTCAGCCTCCTGAGTAGCTGAGACTACAGGTGCATGCCACCACAATTGGCTAATTTTTCTATTTTTTTTTTTTTTTAGAGATGAGGTCTTGGTATGTTGCCCAGGCTGGTCTTGAACTCCTGGCCTCAAGTGATCCTCCCACCTCGACCTCCCAAAGTGTTGGGATTACAGGCGTGAGCCACCGCACCCAGCCCAAAACCTTAACTTGAACAGGGAGAGCTATGACACCTGTTACAATACGGATGCACCTTGGGGACATCATCCTCAGTGAAGTAAGCCAGTCACGAAAGGACAAACACTGTGTGATTCCGCTCATAGGAGGTCTCTGGAGGCATCAGATCCACAGAGACAGCAAGTAGAATGGTGGGTGCCAGGGGCTGGGGAGTGGGTGGGGAGTGAGTGTTTCCTGGGGACAGAGTGTCAGTTTGGGAAGATGAGAAAGTTCTGGAGATGGAGGCTGGTGACGGTTGCACAACCATGTGCGTGCACTTAACGCCATGGAACTTATGCACTTAAAAACGGTTAAAATGGTAAATTTTATGTCGTGTCTACTTTACCATCATTTAAAAAAATGAATAACAATTTAATAAAATTACTCTCGCTGTTTGTAAAGACAGGAAGTGTTTGGGGGCAGGATTCCCGGGGAGTTGGAGGTGTGGGGGGTGAGGGGAGGCAAGTGGGACCCGGTGGAGGGTGGCGGACACTCACCGAGCGGCTTCCCCGTGTGGATGTCAATGACGAAGCCCGGCGCCTGGTTTCCGCACAGGACCTGGTAGTCGGCTGGGCAAAGGAGACCGGGGCTGGGGCTGGGGCGGCGAGCCAGGTGCCCGCCACCCACCCCAAGGGGACACCTCCTCATCCCTGGAGCCCAGCCCTCACCCAGCCGCCTCTAAGCGGTCCCTCGGCCATCTCCCTCCTTCTTTTGGTCGGCGCTGGGGTAAAAGCTGCCACTTGCCTGTGCCACGTGATTTTCCAACACACAGACGGGACCTCTACTATCTCGTCTCTGCCGGGACGCCACCAACCACGCCCACTGCCCGCACCAGGAGACGTGGACTCTTCAGTTCCAACCCCAAACCCTTCCCACCTGCCCCTGCCTTCCTTCCAACAGTGATGCCTGAGCTCCCACTGCACCCATGGGCTTGCGTGTCTGCATGCAACCTGTTCACACGCCGCCACACTTTGCACACACCATTCCATCTGCCTGGGAGGCCCTTCTCTTCCACCTTGCCTTCCCTACTGAAGCCCCCTCAAACTTGCAGACTCTGGGCAACCAATGGGGGCCGCCCTGTGACCCTCTGACTGGCCACTTTGGCCCTGGGCAGTGGATGTCGTCACCCTTGGGCTTCCTGAGCAATCCACTCTCCAATTACATCCTGCTACAGATGTCACGTGCCTGACATGATCCCCAGGCTGGGCAGGTGTCCCTGGACCCACCTAACAGACGTGAGCAGGTGTTTGGTCTGCGTCACCCCTGCCACCTCTCCCCAGGTCCCTGCCCCGGCTCTCACTCGCTCCTCTGCCTCCGATGTGACAAGAACGGACCAATCTCTGCAGCCCCTTTGCTGGTGTGGGCCTCCGCCTCGACACACTCTACCCACACCTCGGACTCAAGGCACGAGAGAGGGCAGGCCCCTAAGTCCCAGCATGGAACTCATGGGTGACATCCGGTCTGTCCTCACAACCCCGTGGTCGGAAGGGTCCGCTTGCAGACCCCTCCCTGGCAGACCGTGCACTGGGTTGAGCAACGCGCCCTGCCCAAAAGTTCACGTCCACTCAGAACCTCTGAATGCCACCTCATTTGGACACGGGGTCTCTGCAGATGTAATCATGTCAAGATGAGGTTGTCCTGGAGTAGGGTGGGCCCGAAATCCAGTGACTGGTGTCCTCGTAAGAAGACAAGAGGACACGGAGAGACACTGGGAGAAGAACCAAAAGTGAGGACAAAGGCAGAGATGGCAGTGATGTAGATACAAGCCAAGGCAGGCCAAAGGACACCTAGAGCCACTGGAAGCCACGGAAAGGCAAGGAAGGATTAATTTCTGTTTTGTGTGTGTGTGTGTGTGTGTGTGTGTGTGTGTGTGTGTGTGTGTGTTTTTAAAGAGACAGAGCGTCACTTTGTGGCCCAGGCTGGAGTGCAGGGACATGATCATAGCTCACTGTAACCTCGAACTCCTAGGCTCACTGATCCTCCCATCTCAGCCTCCCGAGTGGCTGAGACTACAGACACACGCCCCGACGCCTGGCTCATTTTTCCGTTTTTTTTTTTTTTTAGAGATGGGGTCTTGCTATGTTGTCCAGGCTGGTCTTGAACTGCTGGGCTCAAGCCATCCACCTGCCTCAGTCTCCCAAAGTGCTGGGATTACAGGCATGAGCCACTGCACCTAGCCAGATTTCTGGTCTTTAAAGCTACTCCATTATCAATAATTAGTTACAGCAGCCCTAGGAGACAAACATGGCTGTAAACCCCTGGTGGCCCCCTTCTGAGGGCTCCTCACTCCTGCAGCTCTTTCAGGTACCTGGGCTGGGTGCTGGATCATTCCAACAGGTGTCATCCAAGCTGTCAACATGTCCTGCTCAGTCCTGCCTCCAAGCCTTCGCGTCTGCTGTTCCCTCGCCTGGAACAGCCTCCCTCAGCCTGACCTATGTTCTCACCAGGGTTCCAGTCTTCCTCGGAGCTTCCCTGCATCTGCCCCTTTCTCAGCCCGGGCGGTCCCTGGTTTCCCTAACGAGCTGTGCTTTCCTCCCTGGCCCCGGGCATTCACTGACCCCCTTCTTGCTCCCGCCTCTTTCCCCACCAATGAAAGCTCTACTGGTCTATCCTGAATTCTCAAAATCTGCAAAACAGAAGAAAAGTTGCCATTGCCTTGTCCACCCTAAAGTGTCACTTTCTATACATGGGCACGTGACTTTGATTCTCCAGCTGTCCTCAGAACGTGGCAGGTTAGTCTAGGAGCTCTCAGTGCACTGTGCCTCCATCGTGCTAGGGAAGGGCCAGGCTGGGAAGAACTCACAGCTGGCGGGGGTGGGGCAGGCCTCACAGGGTCTATTCCAGGCCTGGCCAATGTTGTAGGAGCAGCAGCACATCTTCCGGGTCACGTTGAATGCCAGCTCATTTTGACATGTGCCGTTATACTGCCGGAAGCAGACGCTCTTCCTCAAATCTGCAGTTGGAGTTAGGGAGAAGATTGTGGGTAAAGGCTGCCTAAATCAGAGGAAGAGAAAGCCGAACATATGGGAACTCATTCATGGATCCATTTGAAAATTACTGGCTTGATGTCTCCCCCTACAACACACTTGGGGGCGCTATTCATTTTTTGGCATTTCTTTTGGGCAGTGCACAACCTGGGCAACTGTTCATGGCAGTCCTGGGCTCCTGAGTCCTGCAGCCTTATTCACTGCCACATATCAGCAATTCAAATATGCTTACTCTTCTTCTCTTTCCTCCCCCAAGCACACCTCTCTCTACTCTTCCAAGACTTGGAGACTCCCAGAACTCTCTCCCGAACCCACGGGTGGCTTTTGTAACTGCCAGTTCCTTGGGTCATCACATTTCCTACCCATGCAGTTGTTGCCACCGTTGACTTGCAGGTACTCCGCAGGGCAGACGCAAGTGTAGTTCCCCAGGGTGTTGTAGCAGGTGCCAGGGCCACAGATGTCAGAGCGTGTGGAACATTCATCAATATCTACAGGGGAGGAAGGGTTGGGAGGGGACAGGTAGGCAGTGTCCAGGAATTGTCTGGATAACTTCCCACCTGAGAGGCCCAGTGAAGCCATTTCACCAGGGGCTTGAGTTTGGCTTCAAAATCAGCTTAAAATGCACAGACATCTTAGTGATAGAGAAAGATACAATATGGCATTAAGTGGGAAAAAAAGTTTACTATGGTACTATTTCTATTAGAAAAAAAATGACCTAGACCCATGAGTCAATTTATTATCACTAAGAAAGGAGCAACCATGTTCTCCTAATGTGATGCGGTCGGAAGCAAGAGCCCTATATAAAAACTATTCTTTGAAAAAAAAAAGTTGATTCTCAATCTGATCAATAGTCTAGAGACAGCAAACTTTTTCTGTAAAGGGCCAGATTATGCTGGTTCTGTGAGCCAAACCGCAGTGTCTGTCATAATTATTCAATCCACCGTTGTAGCATGAAAGCAGCCACAGACAGTATGCAAATGAACTGTGGTATTGGCTCTACTCCAAGAAAACTTTATTTATGGACCCCGAAATTTGAATTGCATATCATTTTCACGGGTCACAAAACGTTATTCTTCTTTTGATCTCCTTTCAACCACTTAACAAAAATGTAAATCAGTTTTCTCAGCTAGTGTGCAAAAACAGGTGGCAGAATATCAGCATGCCAGGAGTTGACGTCACCAGAGATAGCAGACTAGGGAACTCCGTAGTTCCATTCCTCCACAAGAGAAACTATCGAGCTGGCAAAAACTGACGAAATCAACTTTTGTGGAACTCTGGAATCCAGTCGAAAACTTGTAACAACCGGGGAAAGACGTGTGAAGAATGAAGCTGCTGAACTATGGTAAGAAAGTCCTGTGGCATCTTCAAGGGTCTGCCTACCATCCCCCACACCACAGAGCTACAGCAGCCACGAGGATCTTCAAAGTAGTAACAGAAAAGCAACACATCACGACAAAAAGGGCCTCAATAAGATTAACAGCCAATTTCTCTTCAGAGACCATGGATGCCAGAAAACAGTGGGATGACATTTAAAGC